AGTAGTAGTAGTAGTCGTGGTAGTAACTTAGTAGGAGGATGAAATGACACCTTCACGACGAGTGCCTCGTGGTAACATATGTTTTGCCACGACCCGAGTTGTGAGAATGTCGTAAAGAGCACGTGTACCAGCAAGCGCGGCAAGAACGACAACATGTTCACTGGAATGCCAGGATGACCGCAATACTGAATCTGATAGCAGACCCAGTTCTTGGCAGGATCGCCAGGTCCTCAAGGACGCCTTGGCGGAGAACTCAGAGGCGTTGCAGAGCCTTTCTGCTCCTCGGATGCAGTTGATCCAAATTTCGGCAAGCTTTGGGGAAAGACTGTGCTCACTGGTGCATCTGAGGCCAGCAACTATGGCAGCTTCGTGGTAAAAGAAATGAAGAGGCGGTAGGCAACGCTCGGTTAGCCAGAGCTAGGAGTCAACGGTGCCTTTGCACCGTGCTCGATGCAGAAATTAAAGGCAGCCACCATGGCTGCCCTCCGTTTATGGAGGATACAGATGTGATCAGGTTTTCTCCGTGGTTTACAAGATCGATGTCCAAAGAAAGCACAGCTTCTCTTGAAAACCACGGGACGCGAGAGGCCATTGTCGTTCCAGTTTCGACTGCCTCGGTGTTTCGAGTGGAATTTGAAAGGCCGAGCCATCTCTCCACGTCTGCCGCTCTGGATCCCATGGCGTAGTACGTACTACTTACGACTCAGGATACTTTGGGTCTGCGGTGGGAGATCCAGGCGACTGCTCTGGTCGTTGGTGGCGCAGACACGAGCCTCTTGCCCTGAATGGCGGACAGCCGGGGGCCATGTAGAACTGCATCGGTCGGAAATACGCTAGACCCACAGCTTCCAGCTTCTCGTCTGCTTTTGGCAGATGATGAGCACGGGTGCTCTGCTTTTTCCTGCTCTGAAAACCTTGCGCGTGAATAACATGCACGTATAGCCTGAGACTGCGCATGAGCTTCTCGGGGTAGTGTTCTTATCTCGCTTGTGCTGCTCTGGCACATGGGTAGACGGATGTGGCCCTCAGGCCACAAGCATGCACGATGAACTGCTTCTACTTGAACAGTGAATTGGAGGTCCGCCAGAATCGAGCTTTGAGTGACCAGAGCAACCATCCGTGAATCCACTCGGAAACGATCAAGGCCGCACATGGCCCACTTGGGGCGTAGCTGCCTGGACCCCTCTTCTGGGGCCGCAATCCCTGGTGCAATCCGAGTTTGAGCACCTCTGATGTACAGATGCTGCGTACACCTGGTCTCCCGCGACCCTCGGATGCCGAGCCTCACGACTCACAGTCCAAGACTTCAATCTCTGAAGGGTCCCGGATGGCTGGAGCTGGAAATTCGATTGTACAGTTCCGAACTCGAACATCTCCGACCTCGGGGTTGTCACGAAGTGCGAGATGCATCCGGCATCGGATCCGAATTGTAAGCGGAACTTGGCAGACAGCACATATCGCATATATGAGCCTAGTTCGTGCTCCAGCAGCGTGCCTGCATTCCGCTTTCATGGTACCCTGTTGATGACTTCGGAGGGTCGCTAAATTTCTGCGGCCCCGCCCAGAAACCTAACCGGCGAGAATTTCTATGTCGTCGCTGTCGCATTCGAAATCTTGTGTGTGTGTGTGTGTGCCAGGGCCTTCCAAAGTCACTTGGGTCTTGGGATCCGTCGGACAAGCTTTGACATGTGCAGGTTTCTATTACGACTATCCTCCGCTTGCGGGTGCTGACCGCCTGTTGCGAGTGGCGGTGCTTACAGCCTTGGGCCTCGTCGGTGCCGTGGCTACGGCAGTTGGAAGCGAATAGTGGTCTGGCCACTGCAATTGTAAGTTGAGGACTCAAAGAATGCATCTCTCTCTTGAATGGCTTTGATGACCCTCATCAGGTACCTTTATGGTGGGTGCCGCCCTCTATATCGGCGCCTACGCAGAGCACAGCCCTCACAGACTCGCAGAAGTGGAGTGCTGTTTCTGGCTAGAGTGTCTGCTGCGCTCGCGACCGAAGGTGTTGTCTTAGCTGGTTGACTTTTCTCACCATCATCGCAGAGGCCAGGTCCGTCCTAGATGATGTCGCAGGCTATGTGCGGTAGGAGGCCTTGAAGCGCGTGTGTGAGACGAGGTGAAGGTGATCATTTCCGTAGTGAGACTTGCCCGCAATGTCTGGCATGAATGCTGTCCAGCCGGCAGAGCTGCGTCAGCTACTTTTGAAATCTTTCTTTCCAGGAAGTACTGCCCGCAAGTATGGATGAACTACAAGAGGAAGAGCACGGCAACTCGGCCTCATCAGCTGCGAGCCATCAGGAGAGGTTGTCCAGGTGTCGGGGTTGGCATGGCTGAGGCCGGATGGACGATTTACAATGTCCTGCTCGATTTGACCGGAGGCAGTGCGAGCTTATCAAGCTTGAGCAAAGCTGATGTCGGCTTGAGCTTTGCCGTGTCAGGCCTGCTCAGTGTAGCTCAGTGCTGCCCTCACTACTGGTGCAAATTTGGCGATGCTCGGAACGTTTGCCTGCTGGACCCAGGCTGCTTCTTGATGCTTCCCTTAGCAACGACTGGAGCAAGGTGTCTGGCGACCCTGCCAAGCTAATGCTCCTTAGCTCGCTTTGCTCAATTCACGGTGCTTGGGCTTCGGTGCGACAGTGTTGCCAAGGCTGGGCAACGTCTCGGTGCGGCACTGAGCGGATGCCATGCCCAAGAGCACACAGACCTCGGGCAGTCGAGGTCTTCTTCGACCTCATCTTTATCGTGCAGTAGCTTGATCGGCAATGATCGGAACAGATTCTTTGTAGCATTTCGAGAAGTGCAGAATGTGTTGATGCCCCAGCTAGGCACTTCTGCCTCTACAGGGATGCGGCAGCCTCAGCCAGACAAGATCGTCGGCTTGTTGCGCGGCAGTGTGCGGCAGTCCGAGTACTCGCAGGCACGTGGCGCGGCCGCGTGCGATGCACAGGGATCCAGCTCCAGCTCCGAGGGGTTCTGAGAGCTTCTGGGCCGCTGTAGGCGCCAAAGCCGCGTGCAGTCAAGGAAAAAAGCAACTCAGTGACAGTGAGTACCATGGGTACTGGGTTGCATGGAACATAAGTGCTTCGCACTTCAGTGCCTGCCAAGGGAAGACATGGTGGGGACGTCGACTTGCTGGCCTTCTCAATTGTCTGCGACCTATTGGAGTCAGAAGCCAAAATATGGTGCAGCTCAAATGAGAGCTGTCAGGTCAATGGCGGCCACATGGGACGAGGACGCGCGAGGTTTGCGAAAAAGCTTACGACTTAGCCCGAACCTTTCATTACTGGTCTGATGGTGGGAGTTTATATCACCACTTCCCTCTTTGCTTGTCCTGATTGTTTTGGCAGGATGCCCTGCTGATCTTCGGTGTGGCCCTGGGCGAATCCCTCAGCTTGCAGATGGCACGTCAGAACATAGCTTGTAGTCGACATTGTAGCCAAAGTGAAGACGATGAGCGGACCTGGCTGCCTGCTCCTGCTTATTCGGTGGGCGTGATGTGACAGGCAAGGAGTTTGCTACAAAGGGCGCTTCAGCAAGCCTGGGGCCGTGAGCTCGTCGCAGCCGGTGGGTACCAGCTTCTTTCGGAGCTGTGAGCTCCAGGCCCGGGGTGAACGTGCACCGCGTGGCCCGAAACGGCCGGAACTTCGAGTGCAGAACTCAGACCATCTCAGAGCCGTGGCATCACGAGCCGGCTCTCGAAGGTACCTTTCGGGTGAAGACCCCCACCTCGGGGCCAAGCTTGGTGCTGCGCACGTTCGGAACCAAGGCTTCCCCAAAAGCATCCAAAAGCTGTGATGCCTGCAGAGGGTTTCTGGAAGTCGCGAGGTTCGTGGGGTGCAGTCCCAAGGGGTCATGGCGGTTGTCAAGCACTTCGCCATGAACGAGCAGGAGCTCTTGTTTTGTTTTCCATCGCGTACAGAAGTTGCTTCCTACCATCGCCGGAGCGAGGAGACAAACAGAAACACGGAGTCGCCGGCAACTCTCTTTGAGGTCACCGTCCTCAGAAAAACCCTTGCTTCACATGTTGAGGTCCAACGTTGACGAGAAGACGGCCTGGGAGCTTTACTTCCCACCGTTCCAGGTGGGCCCTACTCTGCGAGGCTTTTCTCGTCTCCGTCTGTGTACCACTGTAAGTCAGGTGGTCATGTGTGCATTTGCATCTCTTGGTGTGTACATTTTAAGGCAGCCGTCGATGCAGGAGCTGTAGCATTCATGCAGGGGCCCTGGGGGAGCAAAGCCCTACAGACATGATGTAGCCATGTGCGCGATGTTTGTGAATCATTGAGCCAGCAGTGTCTCGACAGCACATGAAATCCCGCAAGGCCCCAGCGGACGCAACCACACCGCACGAACCGCAGTGATGGCTTTGAGCAACAACATTAGACTCGAAATGTTGGGGTTCGGAACCCCTCCTTTGGAAAGTAGTTCTGTTTCGGGAGCGGAGGCGCAAGATGTGCTTGCGGCACTGGCATCGGGTTTGCTTAGAGCCGAACACACCAACAGTTGTTGGCTGGTGATGCCTTTACGACAACCATGTACATGTGAGGTGAGGGAAGACTCGGGAGCAGCAGTGAGCAACAGTTTGCTTCGGCACTTCACGGCAACTCCGAACTTGAACGCGCAGCCCAAGGGAATCCCAATTTTTGATTGCAAGGACGACTAGTCTGTGGTGCTCATGTCGGCTTCGGCGTTTTGCAAGTCATACTGCATCATGTTACACTCAGTCCAATCCATGTATATTAAAACTGAGCCTGGCACAGGTCTGAAAACTGATACATTCCCAAAGCACTGCATATGCACGGTAATAGCGGCACTCCAGCGCACACAAGAAACAGATTCATCTACCCAGCTACTATGATGCGATTCTTGAAGCATAGGGCGCTTGACTTTAACACATATCGACAGCCCTTTGCAATCTCGAAGAAAAGGACCGAGGGTAGAGCCTGCTTCGCTTCATGGTAGCGGAGCTCGGAAGAGCTCGTTGCCCGGTGCCTTTGCTGATTTGCGCAGCGGTTTGGATGGCTGCGGATCCCTTCTCGCCGACCTCTCCGGTTACAGCTGCCATCGGGACAGGTGGTTTGATAGACACCAAGGCCTATGGGAAGCTGAGGAACTTTGATGGTAGGGAAGAGTCGTGGGCAACATGGTCCTTTGTTGCCAGGAGTTACTTCGGGCTTTTGAGCCCCAACTTCGAGACCTACCTTTCCTCGGCAGAGTCCCAAAGCAGTGTGCTTCTGATGAGCGAGCTGTCGGAGCGAGCCCAGGTCCATGCCCGGACGCTATACCATGTCTTAGTGCAGAGCGTGGAGGGCAAAGCCTTGAGCATCTTGATGAATGTGGAGAAGTCGAATGGGCTAGAAGGCTGGCGAGCTTTGGTGGAAGCCTACCAGCCCGACCTTGGTGGCAGGCACACGTCGATGCTGATGGGGATAATAAGCCCCTCCTGGGAGAAAGTTTCGGAAGCTGACTTCTTGGAGCACCTTGAGCAGTGGGAGGTGCTTATCCGCAGGTACCAGGACCAGGCCATGGACTTGGTGAGCGGGGCAACGAAGATAGCTGTGCTGATGAGATATGCCCCGCAGTCCCTGAGGGCAGCTCTGAGGACCAATGCTTCCATCATGGGCTCGGACTATGACCGGGTCAAGAAGTTCATCAGGGACTGGCTGCAGAGCGGCGTGACTTACAACCACATCGGGGAGATGGCCGCTCCCAGCACCCCAGGCGGGCAGCAACCCATGGACGTGGGAGCCATCGACTACAAGGGGAAGGGCAAGGACAAAGGCAAAGGCGGCAAGGGCAAGACGAAGGGCAAAGATGCAAAGAACAAGTCCGGCGGTGAGTCGGGAAAGTTCCAGGGCGAATGTGGCTTTTGCAAGAAGTGGGGCCACAAGCGAAAGGACTGCTGGGCACGACAGCAGGCCAAAGGAGAGAAGGGCGGCGGAGGAAAAGGCGGTGGGAAAGGAAAGTCGAAGACCACCGCGGCCGTGGAGCAGACGGACACCGAAGCCACGGCAGCCGCTATCCACTACTATGTGGGTGACCCCGGTGATGAAGGGGGCGACCTGGAGGAGTATGGGGACGATCGGTGGGTGATGGCTATCGAGGCGGCAGCCGACCAGGGCACGACCGCAAAGAACCACGGGGCCCACAACTTCGTCCTTTACGACTCGGGGTCGGATGAGAACGTGTGCCCGTATGCCTTGACAACGGACGTGTACGATGAGCCGAGCAAGGTTGCACTTCGGGACGTGGCCGGGGGACCTTTGAGCACCGGCCGGCAAAGAACTTTGAGGTTCGACGTGCAGACCGTCACGGGACGCACGGTGGAGGTGGAAGCTGTCTTCCAGGTGAGCAAGGCTTGCTTGAAGTTGGTGGTCGCCGCGGGCAAGTTTGTTCGGGCTGGTTATGGCGCCGTGCTGGCGGCTGGTGGTGGAACTTTGTGGCACCCCTCCGGGCAGTACGTGCCGATGGTCCTCTATGGCAATGCCACCTACCTCAAAGGGACCAACCTTAGAGCAGTGCCGGGGCAAGGCCGGCAAAGCAGCCTGGGAATACCAAAGGCAATGGCAGCGCCGGTTGAGGCGGATGATCCCGAGGAGGTTCCGCCAGCAGCGGCCGAAGGAGAGGCAGCAGCACCCCAACAAGAGCAAGAAGGCGGCCGGGACGACGTGATCCAGATCGGGGGCGACATCAACTTTGAACGTCGAGGCCGTCCTCCTTTGACACCGTTTGCCACCACACGGCAAATGAAGGCCAGGCTGGGTGAGCTTGGGGAGGTGCGTTATGGCACCAAAGAAGAGCTTTGGAAGAGGCTGGAGAAAGCCGAGAGAACGCACCGCCAGGAGCAGCAACGACACCAAAATCGACAACGGCGACTTCGAGAAGGAAATGCCGAAGCAGTGGTGCCGCAAGCACCCGCAGGACCTGAGACCCCAACTGAAGAAGAGCGAGCACGGCACGAGCTGACACACCTACCTCCGGCAGCCTGGTGCGAGCACTGCATAAAGGGACGGGCCGTGGATGTTGCACACAAGCTCGTTCCTATGGAGCAGCGAGCTCAGAAGCCCCGGGTGGAGATTGACTACTCCTTCCTGAAGACCGACGGCACCGCAGCTGACCCGGATGAGGCCGCGGATGTGGTGCTCAGCGCGTGGGACGAGTCCACGGGAATGGGCACAGCAGCCTCACTGCCATCGAAGAGCTATGACTTGAACTACGTGTGCCGATGGATTGGGGAGTTCATTGGGTCCCTGGGGCATATGAGCGTGATCATCCGCACCGACGGGGAGCCTGCCATCTTGAGCATTGCGCGCAGGCTGGCCGATGCTTTGAGGAATGACACCATTGTGGGGCTCAAGGGAATCCGAGCTACGCTTGAGACGGCACCCCGCTACTCGAGCCAATCCCTTGGAGGTGTGGGCTCTTTCCAGAGGACCTTGAAGACAGACGTGCTGACCATGCGGTATGACACTGAGTCAAAGTACAGCTTTGTTCTGGGGCCAGGGCACAACCTTTGGCCTTGGATGGTGCGCTGGGCCAGCTACATCCGAAGCCGCTTCGGGGTGAAGTCGAATGGCCGCACGGCGTACCAGGATGCCTTTGACACGGACTATAAGGGGGACCTCCTGCCGTTCGCCGAGACCGCTATGTTCCGGATGCCAGCCAGCAGGACGGGAGCAGTGCAGGGCAGGAAGCGTGTGTTGAAGGGAGACAGTTTGTGGCGCCAAGGAATTTTCCTTGGGCGCACTTTGCAGTCGGCAGAGTACCTGTTCGGCACCGCAGATGGAGTTTACACGGCGCGGTCGTTGCGGCGACTTCCTGCCGGACAGCGGGCCAACAAGGAGCTGATGGCAAGCTTTGTTGGTTTGCCGTGGGACACCAAGACGGGCTTGAAAGGACCACGCAGGTTGGCTACTTCGCAGGGTGGCCGAGGAGCAGTGACAGCAGGAGAGCCGGCACAGGACAATGAAAGCAGAC